TCCAAGAACTACTTGCCTGTCCTGACGGACTGATTCGAGCCAGGCTTTGAGTCGACCCCCTCTTCGATATTTCCAATTAGGGAACCCTTTCAAGTCAAGGGTAGTAACACTGAGCTCCTGAGGTTTACGACGAAGAACGTGTCCAAACCACCTCAGTCGTCTTTCCTGAGCGGCCTGAGATATCTTTGTGTTTTTGTCGCTACGAGTGCGGATTGTTTCATTTGAGACGAAATCGGTGTACTTCACCCGAAGGATGCTTCTTAGACAGTAGTGGTCAGAGACTTCCAAGACTTTCTCCAAGGCAGCGTGCGACGAATGAGTTCGGTAACCGATCGGTTACTGCACTGGTATCACTTGCGCTAGCTTATGTACATTATTGCCGGTCCTCAATGAGAGATTAATGGCCGTTTAACCACCCACAGATCTTGTATATGGCACTTGTTGTTGTTGTTGAGATCTAAGTGTTCGTAAAATCCTGAAAAAGTGGCACACACCTGCTTAACTCGGGAAGGACTTCCCTTACTTCGTGTAAAGCTTAACACTTGGGGTATTTTTCTTTAAAATTCACTCTAGTACATGCAGACACTACCATCCATTTGTTCTAGACGATCAGTGTTATCTAAAGTGATCAAAAGCAACTCTTTCTACACATTCATTAGCAGCATAGGAAATAGTTGAGGCGATTTTTGGACGACCTTAGATAGAACTCATGCAAAGGAAATAGAGAAAGAAGGATTTGATGAACCAACGATATATTAGCACTTAGTCCAGAGCGCATTTCCTTGCAGTATTTTAGCGAAGTCGCTCTGCGCCTTTACGAGTATGCCGAGTGCTCCCTCATTTTTTACCTGAATATAGGAGGATGTGTACTGTATATGGGAAATCAACAAATCGTGACATGTTTGATTAGCGAGATTCGAGCTGTCAGACCGTACGTATAGTTGAAGCAAAACTGGGCTTTTGATTATTTTTTTACTAAAATTTTTGACCATGTGTAAAAGTTTTAGAACCAAGCTCCCTCAGCTTTGTCTTTGTTAAGTTCATAATTTCCACAAACTCACGCAGACATCGGTACCATATTGCCAAAATTTTCATCTCGAAACAATCTACCAATGGTTCTGTTAGGAATGCGCCCATTCCCATAATTATTCATCTCACAGAAAGGCCCGTGAGCTCATCTTACGCAGCTGTCATGACTATCGATTTCTCCTCCTATGTAATTGGTCCATTCACTCAGTTATATCCCTCGCGTTCCCCCTTTAGTACATTCAGCCTTTTTGTGAGAACGGCTTGCGCTGACTTGCTGTAACGTGCTTGTCTGAGTAAACGCACTCTCTCTGTCTCTCTGGCCGACTGGTCTTCTCTCTGTCAACTCTCTTAAGGGCTCTTGGGGAACTGGTTCCTGCTGATTAAAAGTGCCAGGTGCGGATCGTAACAGGTTCAGAGGAATTTACTGTGTACTTTGACTTCTTCAGGTTGACTCAAATGTGACCAGGCATCTGGACGCCCGGATTCCAGCTGTAAAAGAGTGGGACGCCATGGTGCTACACTTTCTCGGCCTTGACCACATCGGACACATTGAGGGCCCCACGGGAGCCAGTATCGCCCCGAAGCTTCGCGAAATGGATGAAATTGTGGGGAAAGTGTATAATCATTTGGTCAGTTCCTTTATACTTTACGTTATTTTATTCTATTGATTGGCATCCTTTGAAGAATCTTCTCATAACTCACTCAACCACACCAACAAACTCTTTTTGCTCGTTTATGAAAGTTCACCGAGTTCTGTGCCATTAAATTAAGTAATAAACTTGAAAGGCTGTTATTTGCTACACCCCACCTTCAATGTATATTGTATATTTGAAGGGTTACAGGCAAGGAATGCCTTTGAGGACCCTAATCGTATAAAGTAACCAAATCGATTGTACACTCAATATTAAGTTGAAGACAGTTAACATAACACACATTTGAGTGAGTTCTCGCGGGACATTGCAAAACAGTTTTCACAAAATCGCCGTTGATATTATTGCCATTCTGCTCTGCTTTTGTTATTGTAGAACTGAGCATGGAAGTAACCAAATATGCTGAAAATTCTTCCGGTTTAAATAGAAAACTTAGCTCTTTCATTTATAACAGAATACGTCTCCCTAATTTTTAGAGAAATAAAAAAACTGGCCAAAATTTCTCATTGTGATTTTGACTTAATCTTCAAAAAAAATAAAGAACATACATTCCGACGCCAAAATATATAACTAAAGATCTTTTTCAGGAGGTAACTTATTATAAAATTTTTTAAAAGCAACCTTAGGCATATTCATTCACGACTTTTGTTGTG